ATACTTTGATTAATTAAATTATTAATTAATCAAAGTATGAACCATTGTTTAAATATTATAATTTAAATATTATATTTAAAAATATTCGACTTTTTGTTCATCCCATACAAAACGCCAATTTCATATGTAAGGACCTAATATATTAGCTTTTGTCCCATTTTCAATGAATAGCAGTATAAACCTAAAAAAAAACATATTGTAATTTGAGTATTGAATTAAGTATTTGTTATTGAATTTCCTTTTTTCAAATAGTCATTGGTTTACGCACTTAGTCCAAATTACAAAAATAATATTTATTTATTCTATTCCATAGAGTCTTTTGGAATCTTATTTAAATTAACATAACCGTGGTGATTTCCTAAATCGTCGGAGTTACCCGAGAGTATAGCCAGAAGAAGTCCCTTCAACGGTTATATTGCATTCATTCGTTTCATACCAATTAACATTTCATTATTTCGCTTATACGTATTCTATTGCTGTACGCGAGTGCTTAATATAGAGAAAAAATAAAATACTCTATTATTTAAAGCTTTCTGACCCAGGAACCGTACTAACACCAGTTTTATGAATAATCAAAAAAGAAAAATAATTCATACGAAGTGTTGAGTAATCGCAAAAGAGCTCATTTATTATTCGATGCGATTTTCCCTCTCCTTTCTCTATAATTCACGGGTTTGGCACTCGATGCAAATGAAATTTCCCTTTGATTTTGCGACAAAATAATATTTTTGGCTTATTGAAAGGGATAAACAGGGTCACCCATTTTGTAAGGTTAGCTTGGCAAACATAAAAGTTTACTCTACTGAGAAGCTGAAACAGCTGCTAATCTAAGATACCGGTTCTTGATTATTGGTTTTTGTATCAATTATTAATCAATTTTAACTTTTGTCGAATGATAATTAAGTACAACTTATAGATCCCTGGGGCCTTAGTCAAGATGCCTTAACAGTAGTGTATGTAGAAAGTCGAAAACTTAATTTGTATGGAAATGACCGTTCGTGTCGAAAAGTTTTCATACAAATTTAGTTTTTGACGTTCTACATACACTACTGTTAAGGCATCTTGACTAAGGCCCCTGATTTGGTGACCCATAAATTTTCTGACGTCTCATTGGTCTAGTGGTTAATACCCCTGTCTGCGAATCCATAGGTCCCGGGATCGATCCCCGGCTGAGACGAACATCGATGTGATGAGCATTTGGTGTTGTGCTTAGGTATTGGGTGTTTAAATATGCATTTATATGTCTATCTATCTATAGTATGTATGTATATCCGTTGCCTAGAACCCATAACACAAGCTTAATCACAAGGTCAATTGGTGTGAAAAGTGTTTTAAAAAAAAATTATGCACTTGGAGGTTCTTATATCCTGTTAGTAGGCAGAGTCATTAAGAACACAGACAGCATTGATTCTGCCAATAATTATGACATTATTATCGGATTATTATACAGAAATTTGGTGAGGAGCCGAGTTTAAAACTTACGACCTTAGGATTAAAAATGGCATCCTATTAGGCTAACTCTAATCTAAAAATAGGCTAAGTATATAACTTCCAAAATAATTATTGTCATAACAAGAATCTAAATAACAGGATTTATATAAACCTCAAAAAGCGTTTTAATTGTGTTTGTAATATTAAAGTAGTTGCGAAATCGTAACTTTCATTTTGATTATGAATTCACTATCAGGCGCTGGCGAAGATTGTTATATTTCGTGAACTCAGCCACTTCGATATTAAAAGCCAACCAAAAGCAAAAACAGTACTTTACATCTGTTGTATAAAATATAAATGGAAAAGTACTGCATTTTTTAAAATTAGATTGTAAGATAAGCATTTATTTATTAATTAAGAAAAACCTTACTGCTTACTTAACTATAAAACAAAATAATTCTAAATCGAAACGCCAATTAGAAGGTTTACAGACTAAACAATAATAATTAGATAAATAATGCGTGTAGGGCGTGGGTGTGTATTTTTGAGTGTAACTGAAGCCTGTGTGTTAAAATCGCCTTGATAAAATGCTATATTGGACTTTGTATGAAGATGTAATGATATTGTTATTTATTTATGTCATTTACTGAAGAAAACTTGACTTAAATTTCATGTTCAAAAGATGAGCACGTAAGACCAAGTGCTTTATATTTCATTGGATTGTGCAAGCTGCATCTCTAGTTTGGACTTCCAACCAATTTTAATCCAAAGAAATGTCATATCGTTTTGTTTTTTCCTCATCTCAGCTAATTTTCATAAGTCTTGTCCAATGCTTCAAAACCGAAACAAATATAAAAATTTTGTGTTTTTAAATGAGGAATAACATTTACCTTGTTATAATGCCTACGCTTGCTTTAAAATTAACTGCTAAAGAGGAGTTCATGAATTTGAAGTATACGAGTATGACTTTCTATCGCTTCACAATCACACTTTAGCGCACAGTAAGAAGCCATACAACGACTTAGTTGACTGTAGATGTCTACTTCAAAATATATAAACACATCTTAAATCAATTTTTATTTGATATCAAATACACATTGAAGCATTTGACCCAACACCACGTATCACTGCAGGTTTTTAAGTCAGGTGATAATCTAAAATTTTCGCTGGTCCTGTCCACATATTATATGGGCCGCTTTTTATATTTGTATTTTTCGCTATTTCTGTATGTATGTCAATTTATATCTTGTGTTTGTCCTAATTTTGTGGTCCAAATATAAAAAAAAACTTATTTGTTAACTGTGCGTGCAACATTACGCAGCAATTAGTTATTACTTTAAGATAAATGAATGAACATTTGTTTTTTGTTAGATTTTGTTTTACATCACTCACGAACTATCCGCATTCAAATATTTATATTATAATTATTAATTTTACTTATTCGGGAAAAAAAACCGCGAGTATTGATTTTGATGTCTATAGAAAATGCTTCTTACGAATATTAAGAATACTTTCGTAATCAAAATTTATTTTCATAGACCTTGCGATGACAAGAAAATGCTCTCGCAAAACAAAAAGTTATGCAGATTCGAAAACATTGTCTCAAACTTCGAATATAAATAAGAGAAAAGTATTGATAAATTCCTCCAAACACTTCCTACTGACTGATTGGTTCGTTCTACTTTGTTTTTATCCGTGTTGGGCATCAGGGGTATTAAGGGATTAGATACAAGTGGGAACACGTGGCTTGGGCATCCTAATAGTAAAATACTGTAGTAAAAAACCAGTAGCTATTAGAGGTTTATGGTGTGTATTTAAAGTGTTTCAGACACAAAGGGGAGGGGGATGGATTTAAGACCTAAGGGCAAAAGTCAAAACTTGATAATTAATTAGTTATTGAATTAAGTGAGTACTACACTATATTATATACCTTATTCGAATTTATTACATCTTAATATATATAAATTGTCACGTTGTTTGTCCGTTATGGACTCCTAAACTACCGAACCGCAGTTTGATCTCACTTAAAAGAAAGGCTTACATCTCAATTTATACCCGCAATATTATTTTATTGCAAAATATTTGTTTATTATTTGATAGTCACAATTCTAACAGATGGCGCTGTGTTGAAAGTACCAACGTTTCACATAAGCTACAATTTAATGGCATTACCATCAAAAAGCATGACTGGTGTTCTCCTACCGTTTCACTTGAATAGGTTACTACTATGTAATATAACTAAAACCTTAGCCACAGCAACGCTTGGCCGGTCTGCTAGTTATTATATCTCGATGTTTCGAGAATTGTATGAGAGATCGTAATATAATTAACTTGCATTTACTGTTAAATATGATTTGTTTAATTACTTGATTTTTTGGTAAATTTGTCGAATCACAGCTCCACCCTAAAATAGCTCCATTTTTTTCTATCGTTCTTTACGTCTTGTATGTAGTACCCCAAGAATATTAAGGAGGCAGTGGTTCCCAACCTTTAATTTGCCATGCCCCACCTTAGCTGTGTAACATACATAATTTTTAATATAAAAAAATGTAATTGTTCACTTAAGAAACTTAAATGATAGGTTTCAGGAAGCAATTACTAGGAAATTGTTAACAAAACACAGTATGTAATTGTCATAACGTAATGAAAAACTGAAATTAAAATTCCAATTAATTTTCGAACAGTCCCCCTTAACAATCAAATTGCCCCCCTGTGGAGCGTGGACCCCAAATTAGGAAACACTGGCTAAAGCCTAAAATTTATACATTCTTTCCTTCATTTCACAAATGATGTTTTAATTAATTTCTCGGGGGTTAAAAGCATGCACCACCACATTATTGCATGGTACACCATTGCCGAGTTATGAAAATATGTAGAAAAAATTGGGAGCTGTATTAAGGTAGAGCCGTAATTCGACATATTTACCGATTTTTTTGTAAGTTATTTTATTTTATTACTACTCTCTCTGTCTGTCTGTTACGGCCTGGCCACGGGGATCAGCGGTGCGAACGGCGATGCGGGAGGCGAGGCGACCATTCGCGCGGGGCCGTTTGCAGGCCACGGCGTTTACGGGTAAAGTATATGTATATGTGTCCAAAAGGAATTACGCAAATGCCGTACAGTAATAAATGACCTATATTGCTCCTGCAACTATCGTCGAATTAAAAATTTGCACCGACTTCCGGTACCATCACTTTAGTACGGCACTAAGTTTTTCGACATTTATTTTTAATCATCTATACACTTATAACAAAGCCGTACATTAATAATTAGTCGAAATTCCCCAATTGTACCTGAGAAAGTCCATTCACTCACGTACTCACATGTACCGCTCAGAAATGACGGCATAGTGCTCAGAGCTATTTTCAGATATAGTAACAGCCTTCTAAGCGTAATTCACGTTGGATCATTTCACAGGTATTTTTTGTTCATGGGCTTGTGGTCTAAAAAGCTAATATAATATTACACATTCATCAAAATCCTTAAAAAACAAGCATATCAGAACAATTTACAAAAAAATGCATAAGAGAGATGTTTTCTTGTTTCTAATGCAAATTAAATTTTTTTAGATGCATTTATTTGATATAGATATTCCTAACAAAATAACATTCAAAGAATCAGAAGTATTAAAACCAGGAAATGAGATAACCACGTTTGAATGCAATGGTGTGAAAATCGGCTTGGGAATATGTTACGATCTTCGCTTTCAAGAGATAGCACATCTAATGGCCAATGAAGGTATTAAGTCTTTTTTTTTAACAGGACAATATACATGTCTAAATTTTAAACTCTTATTATTTCCCAACCTCATGGGATAGTGTTAACAATATTTTATATAATTTATATAAAGGTTGTGGCTTACTAATCTACCCGGGTGCGTTCAACATGACAACGGGGCCTAAACACTGGGAGTTGCTTGGGAGGGCCAGAGCGACTGATCAGCAACTCTGGGTGGCTCTGGTGAGCCCTGCACGGGATGCAAATGCGGAATACGTGGCTTGGGGACATACTACCCTTGTAGACCCGTGGGGAGCAGTCGCTGCTAAACTTGATGAGAAAGAGGATACTCTTGTACACACTGTTGGTGAGTATTTTGTAATTATTTTTTATGGCTCTGGCACGATTTGTGCATTAGCCAGCGTCAAGAATAGGATTTTTTTATAATTCGTGCTTGTCTTCAGAAATTCGACCGTGTCCTCGTTGCCGCCGCGACCAGTAAGGAAGTTCGACAGCGAAATGTCTTTATCGAAATCATCTCGATATTGCTTGGAAAGTAATAGCTTTTGGTTCAAGACCTAATATTTGGAGAAATTGTGGAGAATTCCACAAGAAGTATGACAAATTCAGAATATATCCAGAATTATTTTTTTGTGTATACCAGAATGAGTATTGAAACCTTCAATTATATTCTTATGAATATTCAACCAGAATTGGAGAAAAAAGTTAATGCAAATAGAATTTTAAGTGCCGCTGAAAAATTGTTTTTGAGATTAAGGTATATTAAATTAATGCTGTGGATGGCCAGACTTCCAAATAGCTGGTCTAGCCAGTATTTCAGTAACAAAAAACTCTGTATTCATTTTTCGCCGCGACCACGACTAAACTTATTTATTCCCTTCTCTATTCGCCGCGACTGCCGCTCGACTCCGTGGCTTGCACCGTACTGATTCATGCATTTGTTTCGCTCGCCCGTCGCGACGTCAGTCGCCCGCGCGATTCGCTCGGTACATTTCGCCGGTCGCATCGCTGGTCGCCGTTGCGTGTGGCTTGATTAGTACATTGCTATGAGTTTATTTCAGTCGCTAGACGCATCGCCGTTCGCACCGCGCGAATATTCGCGTCAGCGAATGTCCCGTGGCCAGGCTGTAAGTTCGATGTAGTTCCATCAATACGTCAGCGCTACGATGTTACAACCCTGAGAAAGCGCGGTACTAACTCTCAATATTGTAATTGGGGTCGCTGTTGGTATCGGAAGTGACAGAGTAAGGGCTTAGATCTTGTCCCCAGATTTTTATACCTGTTTTTTTAATGACGGCTAGTAGGTTCTGTGGACACACGCTGTCGAGTTTTGGATCATAAGGAAGGCCTGTTTCCTCATGATGATTTCCATAAATCGTACTCACTCAAGCCACACCTCAGTTCTTTTAATAATAATAATAAAATATTAAAACAAAATTAACTTGCGCCATCTAGTAAGTGATGTAAATGAAATTGTGTTAGTGCTCACAATTATTTGGCGTGGAGAACAATTAAGAAAGATATTAACTGATGAAGTTTAGTTACAAGTTTTATTACAACTAATTCGAAATGTTTTCCTTGGTGGAATTAACTTATAGAACTTACTTTCTTCAACAAATACAACGTTCAATAAACTACATGAATAATGCGCATTTAAGCGCTAAGTGAAAAGAAAAAATGTTTATCCATATTTCGAAAACTGCTAATTGATTTGTATGAAATACTGTTCGATAAGATGGATCTCGATTTGACTATACATGAGTAATAATCATAGTTTCCGGAAATGGGCGAGCAAAAATTACCTACACTTAGATACCTATACCAACACTTATAACAACAACACTCGTGCCTAATAAACTCTAAATATTATCCGATTCCAACAATATCACATATATACAGGTGGAACTGATAAGCTCCTTAAGGGGTTAAAAACTATAAAGATTATATAGGTATGTAAATTTGTAGTAATCTTCGGAGATTCTGATTCCACCACATTCTCGCGCTTTATTGATATAAGACGGCGGAACCTAGGGCAGGATAATATATTGAATGATATTGACATACCAGGCACACAGATACCTAAAAGAAGTAAAAATAGAAACGTGTTTTAATGTAAAAGTATCTTAATTAAAAGGCTATTATCCGTCCGTCGTTCCACAACTGAGCGTTTCTTAAGGCAATTTCTGCGGCGCGGTCCACCACTAATTCGAACCAGCTGCCCACTGAAGTGTTACCGACCCAATTCGACTTAGGGTCCTTCAAGAAAAGAGCGTACCAATTCATGTAACATAAAAAAAATATTATTATACCTGGAATACTCAATAACAAATAAATCAAATCATGTCATCTAATGACGAGACCTTTCCTTATAAAACTTGATATTATGTTTTATAAAAGTTTAATATTGAAATCGGAATCGCTATCATTAAATATAGGCATGTATTTAAATAAAATCTCTTTGGCTATACTATATGTATTTGGCTGTTTTTGTTATCATTAAAAGTTGAGATTTCAAAGAAGATAATTCCAAATTCATATTAGGATAATGTGTGATTTTTATTTATTTTTCGTACCGTCAAGATAAGTGAATCTAATGAAGAAATTCGATACATTTTAAAATTTTACTACAAAAAAGGTAAAAATGCAACGCAAGCCGCGAAAAAAATTTGCGATGTTTATGGACCTAGTGCAGTGTCTGTGAGAGTAGCACATATTTGGTTTAAGCTTTTTCAATTTTTTTTTTAATTTTTTTTTTGACCATCGATTCTGAACTCTACTGCGAAACACTGATGAGATTAAAGCAAGGAGTTGACAGAAAGCGGCCGGAATTAATCAACAGAAGGGGTGTGGTTTATCATCAAGATAACGCTAGACCTCACACATCTTTAGCCACTCAGCAAAAATTAAGAGATCTTGGCTGGGAGGTGTCAATGCATACGACGTATAGACCTGACCTTGCACCTTCAGATTTCCACCTGTTTCGGTCTTTTCAGAATTCTTTAGGCAGTGTCAGGTTAACATCACGAGAGGACTGCCAAAACCAATTGTCGCGGTATTTTGATCAGAAGCCCCAAAATTTCTATAGCAATGGGATCATATCCCTACCTACAAGATGGCAAAAAGTTATCGAACAAAATGGTACCTACATACTTTAGTTTAATGTAAATAAACTATATTGAAAAATGCGAAGAAACTTTTTCCCCAACCCATTATTTTTAAAACACGTCTTTATATAACGATATATCCTAAAAATTTAAAGCAACAAGTAATGTCATTTGCTATTTTAAAACAATTACTGATAAGTGTGACCAAGTGATTAATGTGGACTTGGACACTCCAGATAGCAAAGAAAGTCAATGGATCAATTGTAGGGGACCTGTCATAACTCACTTCCGAAGGGACCGAGGCCGGGCATGTCGTAATCAGACGGAAAACTTGTAAAAACTTGGAGAGAAGAGGACAATTAGGGCGACCCTGTGATTGGAAGCTAACTTCAAAACGCCGACAAATTACTTTTTTAGTTTAGTTTGAAATTTAATTTTGCGAGTGCTGTCTCGTGCTATATTTCAACATATTTTAGTGCCGTTTTGGGCTGGCGGATCTAGTTTTGTTAACGATATATTTTACGAAGTGATGTTTTCGTTATTTTTGATTTAAAAGTAACCTTTTGTCGGTTTCGGCGAAATTTTTTATATATTTTTTAAGAAAACCGTAGAAGTGTTTCCTACACTTGAAAAATTTTGAACGAAATTAAAAAGAAACTCAAAATGCTGTACTACTTTGGATACCCCTTGATGTAGGTAAAATAGATCCTTAATTCAGAATTTATCTGCATTAGTTCGGTTACATTCATTTAAGTAGATTTAAACCAATACAAAAAGTATTTAAAACTACATTTCTGTTCCTACACTCATATATCAACAGTAAGCTTTTATCATAATATATTTAACCATTATATCAAAACCTGCATAGGTATGTACTTTCAGAATCGCTGCAAAGATTTACATGAAACATCTCGTATAACTATATACCTTAAACGACATCGTATGCCAAGACGCCTAGCGATTTTATATTACAATTTTACTAAAAACTAGAGTACATAAGGCTTAAAAGCTTCACTATATATAACTTCCAAGTTCCATCTTAAGTTTGGGCGTGCGCTGTCTTCCGTTACACATCAGTCAGGCCTCAAACTCTGCATAGAGCAGACGTGTCGGTGTCAGCATCATAACTTAGTATCACGAAGTGTGTAGTGTAGTGTTTAGTGTCCTTGTGTGTGTTCCCAGGTAAAGGGAAAGTGATGACCTTGGTATTTAACAGGTAACTGTGTATTTTTAATTAAAGCCGTTTCAACCGTCTTTTTGTTATATATTTTAGGATATGTGTGTATGTCGTTATTTATTTTAGGATATTTATAGTTTACATATTCTTCTGGTGCTTGAAGTATATTTAAATAAGATGTTTTTTGCTATGATCATGGTGCAATTGATCGATTGATCTGGGATTTCAAAAAATATTCTAATGTATTTAATATAATTTAAAAGTTATTGATATTGTAGATTATTTAAAAAAATAATTTTCTACCATAAAGAGGTGTTTAAATGTTATGATTTTAAGCTTTTATTTTAATTTTTGGTGTGAAGGAATAATTAGAGTATGAGAAAAGTTTATTTTTGTATTATTATGTTTTATTCGACTTTAATGCATTTTACACATCACATTATTGAGGGAGATAAAGATTATTTAGTTCCGTGAGAACACTTAAGATAAAACTTCTGAACTATAATCGCCTGAGACACTTAAACCTTAAGCCCCTAAGTATCTCAATCGACTTTGAACATGAAAAGAATTTTCTTTGAATGACCAAATAAAAGGGTCGCCGCTTCGGCTGTCGAGTTCAATTACCGATACTTTCCTATTATATATATGTATATATTAATGCTTAATGGGGTGGAAAATTGGCATATTTCTGTATTTACAGAATTGGTTGGTAAGTCTTGTTAAAGAGAAAAGCGTTTGCTAATTATTGCATTATTAAATTAATGTAAGTAATCTAATAGTATGTTTTAGTTTTATTAAGCGTATTGCGAGCCAAATCTCCAGATTAAGTTAACATTTAAATAAACACATCTTGAAGTAAACACAGGAAACACGTAATTTAGATTAGGGCGTGGATGGCGTGCACTCATATACACAAATGCTGCATTAATATAGCAATACAGTCAAAATCTGTTATAACGACACCGGAGGGACTACGGTCAATAAAACCGACAGTCGTAACAGCCGATGACGTTGTTATTAAGTACCAAATTCGATAGAATTCAGCCCGGACCTTTGATTATGGTCAATATAAACGGTATGTTATTCTAAACGATGTCGTCGTAAACGGTTTTGACTGTATTTCATAAATAATATCAACAATCAAAAAACTCGGCTACTATCAACTCGATGTGATTGCCTCTGGTTGGCTTTTGATTTATGATACGTTGAGTTTTGTAATTCATCTAATAAGTTCGAACTTCCGTTAAATATATATTAAGAAAACATAGTAATAGAAGCGCGCCTAATACTTTTATTATAATGACTTTGGTATCAAACTAAAATGTTTTGTTGTCCCATTCACAACTCAAAAAATAATATCGAATACTTTTAACGCAGCCATAGACAAGTTTTGCGATAAAATTATACCTAAACAAACTTTAATCATTGTTATCGTTCTAAGTTCATCTGTTGAATAGTTTTAGTTGAGTTTCTAGTATCAAACTTTCTGTTCCACGCTCGAACGAAACTAAATATTCTTATTTTCCTTTCGCATTTCAGCCTTTATGTTTACTTTGCGTGAGCGATAATTGGCGTACTTAGATGTAATTATCACGATCATATTTTCATACAACTCTAGATTGTTTTCTGATACTATAATTCTATAGTATTTAATACGGTGTTTATGTACTATGTATCCCGAAACCTGGTTAAGTGGAATAATGCATATCTGGTATGGTTGAATACACTTAGGTTAAGGAGCTAGGGTAAGGAGGGACCTAGCTATTACTCGGTACCTATATGAAATCCTTAGGGTTAGTACATATTGCTGATGTGTTAGAGAGGTTGGGGCAGCGAGAGCCGATTAACCACGCTAAGCACGCGAAGGCGACTACTGCTGGCTGTGCCTTGGACTTGCACTCACTTGCTCAGAGATTCACCACTTCCGCATGCATTGCGCACTCTTCAGTTTTCATAACCGATTGGAGTATAAAACCTGTATATAGCTATGGTTCAAAAGGCCGGCAACGCACTTGCGAGCTTTCTGAAAATGAGAACGTTCATGGGCGACGGTATCTCTTATATGTAGATGAGCCTCCTGCTACATAAAAAAATAAAAAAAAAGTTGTTTTATTCTGTATTAACTTGATTGTTGCCGAATACTAGGTATTCCGTCTACCTTGTTAGGTTTAATGGATAAGTTAGTTTGGCTACACCTCTCTAATAAAAGCAAGTATAAACCAGTACCCCCTTTAAAATAAAAAAAATATAACACTTAAAAATTAATAATGAAAATATAAATTTAATATTTTATTAACTTTTATGGTTTTATAATGTAAGTTTAAAGGCATACGTTACACCATTCGTAGTTTGCAACTCTAGATTAATGAAACCAGGCATTTTATTTGTTTGTGATTGGCCAATACCAACTCAAAACCAAACATGCCACATGATCTGTTATTTCGTTTGACTTACTTTGTTTAATCATTGTATTAAACCCAGAACATTGCAGGAAAATGTGATAAATTATTTTATCTCAGATATATGCTAATAGGCAAATAGGTGATCAGCTTCTGCCTATCTGCCGTCTATTTTTGGATCTAAGGCATTAATTTTTTTATATGTTTCCTTTACCGTACGAGCGAAGGTTAATCGCGCAGATAATCCATTAGCACATAGCCCTAAGTCGAATTCATGACCTTATGATTAAGAGTCACACGCATAACCACTGTCAATACTGCTATTTTTATGGTGTATCGATGTTTTTACCAATACCAATACGGAAATTAACGCATTTAATTACTCGGCAAAAACAAACCAATTTTCTCATCCAAACATCAATTTTACTCGCGCATAAAATGAAAGGAAAACGTCCATGTTTTCTGACTCATTTTCCATTCTCTTTCATTGGCACGTGTAGCCCTAGAGCTAATTGTTTGAAGTCCAATTTAATTTTCACAAATACAACGCCGTTAATTTTTTAAAAGAAAGTTGACGGTACACTCAGATTACGTTATGCCGCGTTAATAAGGAACAGAAATTTCAAAATATTTTTTTTGTATGTTTTTGTTTTGTGTGCTTTAATTAGAATACTGGCATATCCAGGTCACGTCCTATAAAACAGACAGTAATTATATATATCATACAAAACCTCGTAATAATGGTATGCAAAGTAATTATCACTTAGAGAAGAGAAAATGCTATTTTTCTCTGGCTCTTATACTAAAAGGTTCTTTAGCAAACACGATTGACGTGCAAAGTACTTAACATTTATTTTATGAGCAAACCTTGTGATTTGATTTAAAACGAATTAATTCAATTTATGCTAAACACTTTTTCGTTTTGTTTAAACACCTTAAAATTCTTTCTTTTTTAACATAAGAGCGTCTTATTGGAATTATAGTCGCCTTTGGCGTCTTTTATATTGAAATTAGAATCGTTTTTTACTTAACATAATTAATGTTAAATTCACATTATGTAAGTAAAAATGTTTTAAGAACAGAGTGACTTCAATTAGATACTACGTAGGTAGAAATTGCTTCCATTTTTGAAATTGAAACGAATGTGATTGTAAATCTATACTTCTATACTAATATTATAAAGAGGAAAGATTAGATTTTTTGTTTGTTTGAAATGAATAGGCTCTGAAACTACTGGACCGATTTAAAAAAATCTTTCACCGTTGGCAAGCTACACTATTCCTGAGTGACATAGGCTATGTTTCATTTAAAGAAAATTGGGATGCTTACTAAAACTTGAATAATCTAACCCAAGATGTAAAAAAATAAACAAAAAACTTCCTTCAATCGCGTGCGCTGCGAAAACTATTAACGATAGAACAAAATGATGTATTAAATTTTTTCAGGACACATCACTATCTATAAAAAGTGTCCCGACAGCATGTCTCTATCTTTTATAGTTACGTCACAATACAACAATACCACCGCTAGAAACGGCTCTTTATTCGTACCTAGGTATTGATCCTTATCAAAATAAATACCAACGTTTCACATAAGCTACAATTTAATGGCATAACCACCAAAAAAGCATGGTGAATTGGTGTTCTCCTGCCGTTTCTCTTGAATAGTTTACTACTATGTAATATAACAAAAATCTTAGCCACAGCAACGCTTGGCTGAGTCTACTAGTATTTCTATAAAGCTATCACCAAACAGTGTAGT